TTGTTCTAGAGTTTGACCCGATGACCTATCGATCCGAGGATGCAACAGGCCATTGTTAACTTCCTCCGCTATGGCTTCAAAAGTAACCACAAAAATCCAGAGGATATTATTGTGATTTATATTAAAAGGTATGATAAATTAAATCCACAAGAATGTTATCTTTCTTTCAATCTAAAAATCATATATGGTTGCAAATGATGGTTCTAGACGATCTGTTTCAGTCACAAACATGTGATGGACAGGTACTCATACACACATCTCATACTGGTGTCCTGGTATCCTGGGTTTAAATCACTATTCTTTTCCCCTTCCTTAGATTTTTTTTATTCGTCCACATATAAAACATGCCCGACCACAGAAGTAAAAAGCTGTGACTCATAACCCAGAAAATATGGTACATGTTACAGACTTCAAATATACCGTACAAGTCAACATTTCAATTATAAATTATAAGTCAATTGTGTAAATTAAAATATGCAACAGATATAATAGAGTAAAAGTTCAGGTGATTTTGTACAGAACATAGGTCTAAATATACAATGGAAGTCACAATATTCAAATTCACAGGTGATTTTGTACAGTACACTAGGTTCAAATACAAAGTGGAGGTCACAATATTCAAATTCACAGGTGATTTTGTACAGTACACTAGGTTCAAATATAATGTGGAGGTCACAATATTCAAATGTACAGGTGATTTTGTACAGTACAAAGGTCTAAATACAAAGTTAAGGTCACAATATTCAAATTCACAGGTGATTTTGTACAGTACACTAGGTTCAAATATAAAGTGGAGGTCACAATATTCAAATTCACAAGTGATTTTATACAGTACACTAGGTTCAAATATAAAGTGGAGGTCACAATATTCAAATTCACAGGTGATTTTGTACAGTACACTAGGTTCAACTACAAAGTGGAGGTCACAATATTCAAATGTACAGGTGATTTTGTACAGTACACTAGGTTCAAATATAAAGTGGGGGTCACAATATTCAAATTCACAGGTGATTTTGTACAGTACACTAGGTTCAAATGCAAAGTGGAGGTCACAATATTCAAATGTACAGGTGATTTTGTACAGTACAAAGGTCTAAATACAAAGTTGAGGTCACAATATTCAAATTCACAGGTGATTTTGTACAGTACACTAGGTTCAAATATAAAGTGGAGGTCACAATATTCAAATTCACAGGTGATTTTGTACAGTACACTAGGTTCAACTACAAAGTGGAGGTCACAATATTCAAATGTACAGGTGATTTTGTACAGTACACTAGGTTCAAATATAAAGTGGAGGTCACAATATTCAAATTCACAAGTGATTTTGTACAGTACACTAGGTTCAAATATAAAGTGGAGGTCACAATATTCAAATGTACAGGTGATTTTGTACAGTACAAAGGTCTAAATACAAAGTTGAGGTCACAATATTCAAATTCACAGGTGATTTTGTACAGTACACAAGGTTCAAATACAAAGTGGAGGTCACAATATTCAAATTCACAGGTGATTTTGTACAGTACACTAGGTTCAAATACAAAGTGGAGGTCACAATATTCAAATTCACAGGTGATTTTGTACAGTACACTAGGTTCAAATATAATGTGGAGGTCACAATATTCAAATGTACAGATGATTTTGTACAGTACACAAGGTTCAAATACAAAGTGGAGGTCACAATATTCAAATTCACAGATGATTTTGTACAGTACACTAGGTTCAAATATAAAGTGGAGGTCACAATATTCAAATTCACAGGTGATTTTGTACAGTACACTAGGTTCAAATACAAAGTGGAGGTCACAATATTCAAATTCACAGGTGATTTTGTACAGTACACTAGGTTCAAATACAAAGTGGGGGTCACAATATTCAAATTCACAGGTGATTTTGTACAGTACACTAGGTTCAAATACAAAGTGGAGGTCACAATATTCAAATTCACAGGTGATTTTGTGCAGTACACTAGGTTCAAATACAAAGTGGAGGTCACAATATTCAAATGTACAGGTGATTTTGTACAGTACAAAGGTCTAAATACAAAGTTGAGGTCACAATATTCAAATTCACAGGTGATTTTGTACAGTACACTAGGTTCAAATACAAAGTGGAGGTCACAATATTCAAATGTACAGATGATTTTGTACAGTACACTAGGTTCAAATACAAAGTGGAGGTCACAATATTCAAATTCACAGGTGATTTTGTACAGTACACTAGGTTCAAATACAAAGTGGAGGTCACAATATTCAAATTCACAGGTGATTTTGTACAGTACACTAGGTTCAAATATAATGTGGAGGTCACAATATTCAAATGTACAGGTGATTTTGTACAGTACAAAGGTCTAAATACAAAGTTAAGGTCACAATATTCAAATTCACAGGTGATTTTGTACAGTACACTAGGTTCAAATACAAAGTGGAGGTCACAATATTCAAATTCACAGGTGATTTTGTACAGTACACTAGGTTCAAATACAAAGTGGAGGTCACAATATTCAAATTCACAGGTGATTTTGTGCAGTACACTAGGTTCAAATACAAAGTGGGGGTCACAATATTCAAATTCACAGGTGATTTTGTACAGTACACTAGGTTCAAATACAAAGTGGAGGTCACAATATTCAAATTCACAGGTGATTTTGTGCAGTACACTAGGTTCAAATACAAAGTGGAGGTCACAATATTCAAATTCACAGGTGATTTTGTGCAGTACACTAGGTTCAAATACAAAGTGGAGGTCACAATATTCAAATTCACAGGTGATTTTGTACAGTACACTAGGTTCAAATACAAAGTGGGGGTCACAATATTCAAATTCACAGGTGATTTTGTACAGTACACTAGGTTCAAATACAAAGTGGAGGTCACAATATTCAAATTCACAGGTGATTTTGTGCAGTACACTAGGTTCAAATACAAAGTGGAGGTCACAATATTCAAATTCACAGGTGATTTTGTACAGTACAAAGGTCTAAATACAAAGTGGAGGTCACAATATTCAAATTCACAGGTGATTTTGTACAGTACACTAGGTTCAAATACAAAGTGGGGGTCACAATATTCAAATTCACAGGTGATTTTGTGCAGTACACTAGGTTCAAATATACAGTGGAAGTCACATTATTCAAAAGTTCTGGTGATTTTGTACATGCTTAAGTCACAATGTACAAAAGATTTTGAACAGTATGAGTTAAAAGGTTAAAAAAACAGATAAATACATTGAACAAGTGATTTCTAAACAGTTAACTACATTGTACAAGTGATTTCTCATCAGTTACTACATAGTACAAGCAATTTCTAAACAGTTCACTATATTGTACAAGTGATTTCTAAACAAACAGTTAACTACATTGTACATGTGATTTCTCAACAGTTAACTACATTGTACAAGTGATTTCTCAACAGACAGTTCATTACATTGTACAAGTGATTTCTAAACAAACAGTTAACTACATTGTACAAGTGATTTCTAAACAGTTAACTACATTGTACATGTGATTTCTCAACAGTTAACTACATTGTACAAGTGATTTTTCAACAGTTAACTACATTGTACATGTGATTTCTCAACAGTTAACTACATTGTACAAGTGATTTCTCAACAAACAGTTAACTACATTGTACAAGTGATTTCTAAACAAACAGTTAACTACATTGTACAAGTGATTTCTCAACAGACAGTTAACTACATTGTATAAGTGATTTCTCAACAAACAGTTAACTACATTGTACAAATGATTTCTAAACAGTTAACTACATTGTATAAGTGATTTCTCAACAGACAGTTAACTACATTGTACAAGTGAATTCTAAACAGTTCACTACATTGTATAAGTGATTTCTCAACAGACAGTTAACTACATTGTATAAGTGATTTCTCAACAGACAGTTAACTACATTGTATAAGTGATTTCTCAACAGACAGTTAACTACATTGTACAAGTGAATTCTAAACAGTTCACTACATTGTATAAGTGATTTCTCAACAGACAGTTAACTACATTGTACAAGTGAATTCTAAACAGTTCACTACATTGTACAAGTGATTTCTCAACAGACAGTTAACTACATTGTACAAGTGATTTCTCAACAGACAGTTAACTACATTGTATAAGTGATTTCTCAACAGACAGTTAACTACATTGTACAAGTGAGTTCTAAACACTTCACTACATTGTACAACTGATTTCTCAACAGACAGTTAACTACATTGTACAAGTGATTTTTAAACAAACAGTTAACTACATGTACATTGTACAGGTGATTTCTTAAAAGTCAGTGAACTAAACTGTACAAATAATTTTGTAATAGACAAAACTTAATGGTACAAGTGATTTTGTACAAAGCAATAAATGCCGACATACTGATGACTTACATGTAATTGGGTACAAGCCATTCACTTCAAATGTTTAGGTGATTGTTTGCAGGCCACTTGGTTAAACAGGTGATAACAGTCATTTTGTTCCAATTACTGCATCAAATGTAATATTTTGTAAAATTTGTAATGTTATTATGCACTGGTGATTTTGTACAAGTGGTTAAGTTTGAATGTAAAATGACTTTATATCAAATGTCATTTCAAGGACCAGCATTAGAAATACAAAGTTCAAATAAGCATGTACATATTTTTGTCATTATTTTTCTTCTTTACAGTTCCTATAATTTTCTCTCTTCCTAGAGGTGGAGGTGGCCTAAATAGAACTGGTCAATAAAAATGTCACAATGTCCACATCAAGACTACTTTAAGTGAAAAGGAAGTCTCAATTTTGTTCGGAGCTGGTGTCAATCTTAAGATGTTAGGGCCAGCAAGTGCCCTGAGCTGGTAGGTAAAACTACCCCACAGAGAAACATTCACAACTGTATCCTTGATTTACTACATACTTGCCTGGAAAAAAATTAATTGAAATTTTTTTTGATGTTGTGACATTTTGTGTGCCATTTGGGGAACATTACCTAAATGAAAAATTTTATTTTCAGTCACTTTGGACTTACCTGGAACACATTCAAAGTTCCTATGGTCCATAAACTGCTCAAGGTTTCCAAACAGACTCCCGCACGTGTCACAATGGAACTCTCCTGTGTCTCCCGAATCTGATCGGTTACCATTGACAACACCCTCTCCATCAGCATTGTTGCTCATTTTGATACCATTGTCACCTTGTTCAATACTGTCTGACACACACAATCTCTTGGCCACTACAAGTGAATATTGGCAAGTTGTTTTAAAGAAACACTAAAACATGACAAGCAATGTTCTGTAAATTCATTCTTTTACAAACTTCTGCCATATTGCTTCAAGTTATTTGGCATGCAAGTAATATTGGGTGATGGTTAAAGAGGCTGTTATGTTCCTAACAGCAATGGGAACCACTGTCCAGGTGTAAAATACCTTGTTGTGCATTATACACCCCATAAACAACTACGGCAAAGCATTACAGCATCTCAAGGTATTATCAGCATTTGATAGAATTTTCTAAAAAACAATTTTGATTGTTAATCCACATTTAGATTGTGACTTTAAATACCTTCCAAAGTAATTTCACAACAAAGAAAAATAAATGATGTAGCTTCAAACTTTGAAATGAAACATGACTTTTGTATGAAAAACAACTTAACATATTTGTCACACCTGAAGGTTGGATACAGAGGAAATAATATCCATATTTACAGCACATAGTGGATAACTCAGTCACCACACTATAACTTATCCACCAACTTAGTACCCACAAAATAATATAACCCTCTCAGTTAATTCAGTAACCCTTTAACTCAACAATGCAATGCATGCTGGTAGAAATGTGAGACACCATGCTGACATGAAATTTGATTCTTTACCCTATATTAAAAATGAAAACAAAAAAACACTAAGAAATTTCTTCAATCCAGTGCAATATTTTGTACTTTTTTCCGTTACAAAACACCTTACTTTGCAGAAATACCAAGCAAATGTCTTGGTTAAGCTTTTATGTTGAGATTTGTTCAATAAGGAATAAGGATTCTGTTCCCTTACGAACACAAAGTCCATAAAATTGCCATCTTTTTCTCACTTCTTGATCTTCAATTTTAAATGGCTGTTGAACTTTTGTTAGTATTATGTGACCATGTGGTGTCATACTACTGTGTCCAGTCAAAAAGATATATCAGAGTGATGACATCTTAAAAAAGTGATCCCCATCAGCAATTATACCTTCTAATGACTTTATAGTTCTTCTAAGTATGTACAACCCAAAATAACTCCACCTTCAGGTGTTGCTGTACTAGTTCAATATTTGCCTGGCTCACATCAATTGATGCTAATGTTACTTACATGGTTCCTCCTCCACATTTTCATCCTCATGGACTGGTTCCATCTCTCCTTCCACGTCATCCTCCTCTTCCCCCGATCCTGTCAACAATACAATCATTACATGAAGATAGACAATTCTCTGGTCCTCTCAAATTGTATGTAAAGAACTGGCTAACATGCAACTGTCAAGCACCTGATCTCACTTACATTAAAATTACTAAGTTGTCATTCTGAGATATGCTCTGACAAAATCATACCATCTGTGATATTTGGAACTCAAATTATTTGAGTCCTTGACTAATGCTTTTCCTGTGGGACTCAATCAAATTTTGAGAACCCATTATATTCCTTTGTAACTGGTCTCATCAAAATTTTAGAAATGGTGCTCTGGACGTAACAGAAAAAATCCTGGAAAATTGACTGATCATACATGAACACAATACAAACCACTTTAACTACGAAAATTAAAGAAATGCATTTTAAGATCTAGACATACTTGCATAGATGTTTTTATTGATTTATTTTTTATTAAATAATCCCAATTTTTTCTCTTGATTTGGTCTGTGTACCTAAGATCTAATGCATGATACAGAACTGATACTTTCTAAAAAAAAATTATCTAAACACCACTACTTCACACAGATGTGTAGATACAAATGCTGATGACAAAGTTATACCTTAATAGACTCAGTTCCACACCTTTATCATGACAAGGCAAAGATTTCTAACATTATCTGTTCTATACCTTGTAAACTGGTGTGGTGAATAGATTTGATCAGAGACCCAACTGTGAGTTTTAGTTTGTGAGTCCCATGTTTAGTCAATAACCACACAACACAGGTGATATTAGCATCTTCATAAAACTATATTGGTAATCTTACGAAATGAAAATCTGTCAAAGTTATTATCAAACTTCTCCACTTATAAGAAAGTATAATCAAACCCTACACAATAACATCAATGTTACTGTGCCCTTGAACATGCATTAATGTTACAATTCATTCTTTTGGGGAAAAAACTTTTACCACACAAACTTTCATTTTCAAGAAATTGTTTTCACAATTCTAACAAAGCCACTATGGAAATCATAATGTATTTGTGTATGACACAAAACTGTACACCAGCTACCAGTAGCTTGTACAAAGCTAATGTCTCCATAGAATTGTCATTTGATAAGTGCTGCAATATGCCTTCCCTGGCAGATTGAAATATTCTGGAAATTGGGTTGGTGAGATAAGGGCTTTTCGTTTCAATAAAAATTAGGCAGCACCCAAGGGGATCTTCCACACACCTCAAGTGCCAAATGTATCTTTGATATGAGATGATTTTTAGTGAAGATCTGCTACAAAAAGCTCAGGGCATTAAGTGAATATTGTGTTATTGAAAACATGATAATTACTGGCAACAGAGAAAGTTGTTTTAACTTTTAACTATATATGAGCCACATCCTTCCACACATTTATCTTTTAACCAGACCATCTATTCATCACGTTTAAATTTCAACCAGTGAAGCCCCATCTATTCAGTCTTCAAAGATGCAGTGGTAACTATCTGACATTTGAGCATGTCTTGTAACCATGACAATCATTATGTTATTATGACAAACATGAGGCCCATACAGAAACGGTCACCTAAGTTGAATTTTTGCTTTTAACAAATGACAAGCACAAACTTAACAAAACTGTCTTTGCCAATTTGCCAATAAACAGCATACAGATTAAAAACTGCAGAGAATTGTGTGTTGCAAGTGTGGATTTAGAGGATATTGCAGAAATTTGAACAAATCCAACTCTTAGGGCCCTGCAATGAAATTTTCAAAACATTGAACCTCCTTGTTAGCCCTTCATTCCAGCATACTACAGGCCAAATAACAGATCTCTGGATCTTTCGATTATCAAGTAGAAATCAATTAAGATTTTAACACATTTGACCCCTGTGACATTGAAAGTCAGTAAATTAAGGGTATAACTTTGAACAAACTTGGTACCCATTCATCCAAGCATACTACAGTCCCAATATCAGAACTCAGAGCCTTTCAGTTATTAAGAAGAACTCAAGAATGAAATTGTTTATGCTGAACAACACACTATGATGGACAAAAGGTGATTGCAATAGGTCGCTTGGCGTATAGGTCTCAGGTGACCTGATAAAAAGTAGTAGATTTAGGTAAGTCTGTATATTACAAAGACAAACAGCTGTTTCTATGACAAAATTGGTGTTATCACTACACAAATTCATTGTAAAGAGCTGGCCTGTATCTGCATCTTTCCGAAATTTCAAAATTACGCAAATGCATGCAAATGGCGCTAGCAAACATTGTGTAGTGAAATTCACTGACTTTTTAAAGCATAACTTATCCTTCTTGGCACAGTTTCAATTTTAGTGTTAGCTGATTACAACATTTATTTTCACCAGAAAGGTACAAACAGAATTACTGTCATCTTAGTTAGGTTGTCATTATTTGGGATTCAAAATCCAAATCAGAAGTGAAAAGGTAAGGAATCCCTTGCACCCAGCCATGGCCAAAGGTAAACCGAAAGAGTAAACTGTAAGGTCTCCAACCCCTAGGGGCCTAAGAGGCGGGGCCTAAGAGACAGGGCCAAGAGGGGTCCAATTGACTGAAACTTCAAATTTCTCCATCTGAATACGCAAATATGATAGAATCTGCAATTATTCTTGATAGATGGAAGGGTCTTAAGGTGCTTTTCCAAAATTTCCCCCTGGAAGGGGGATAAAATTTACTATAGGTAATATAAAACAAGAGGCCCATGGGCCTTAACGGTCATCTGACAAAAAGCAAGCCAAACCTAGAAAGTGGGTTGAGGTCATTCATTTGAACAAACTTGGTAGCCTCTCCTCCAAGCATCTTATAGGCCCAATATCAGCACTCATGGACTTTTGCTTGTTGAGAAGAAGTCGTTTGTATATTTTAACATATTTGACCCCTGTGACCTTGAAAGTGGGTTGAGGTCATTCATTTGAATAAACTTGGTAGCCTTTCCTCCCAGCATGCTACAGACCCAATATCGGCACTCATAGACTTTTGCTTATTGAGATGAAGTCCTTTGTATATTTTAACATATTTGACCCCTGTGACCTTGAAAGTGGGCCAAGGTCATTCATTTGAACAAACTTTGTAGGGCTCCATGCCATACTATGGGCCAAGTATTAGCCCTCTAGGCCTTCTAGTATTTGAGAAGAAGTTATTTAAAGATTTTGACATATTTGACCCCTGTGACCTTGAAAGTTGTTCAAGGTCATTCATTTAAACAAACTTGATAGCCCTTCATCCCAGCATGCCACAGGCACAATATCAGCAATCTGAGCCTTTTGGTTATTGAGAAGAAGTTGTTTAAAGATTTTAACATATTTGACCCCTGTGACCTTTAAAGTGGGTCAAGGTCATTCATTTGAACAAACTTGGTAGTCCTTCATCCCAGCATGTCACAGGCCCAACATCTACACTCTGAGCCTTTTGGTTAATGAGAAGAAGTTATTTAAAGATTTTAACATATTTGACCCCTGTGACCTTTAAAGTGGGTCAAGGTCATTCATTTGAACAAACTTGGTAGAGCTCCATGCCAGTATCCTCTGTGCCAAGTATTAGCCCCCTAGACCTTCTAGTATTTGAGAAGAAGTCGTTTGAATGAAAAGTTTACGGACGGCGCACGGCGCACGGCGGACGACGACGGACGAAGCATGATGACTATAGGTCATCGGACCCTTCGGGTCAGATGACCTAAAAATGTACACTTTTGAGTATTATTTGTTGATTTTCTACTGGAAAAAGGTCAAACTGGGTTATAGTTATTACTATATAATGACAGTTTGATGATATGCATATATTGACCTTAGTTGACCTCCAGGGGCTGATGGGCAGTTCCAAAAAGGGTCAAATTGACTGAAATTTCAAAAATCTTCTCAATACTCAATAATGGTAATATACATTACTCTTCTTGGATGGGAAATTCTTACGGTGCTTTACCCAACATGCAAATTTCATCACTCCAGGATCTCATATTTCCCCCTGGGGAGGATATAAAACTACCTATTGTTTAAATGTGAAAAAGACATTTTCGAACATAATTTGTTTATTTTCTATTCGAATAGGTCAAACATGGTTTTAGCTATTAGAATGGGATGACAGTTTGATAATATGCACATATTGACCGAGGCTGAAACCTGGGGTTGATTGGTATAGCCAAAAGGGATCAAATTGCTTGAAATATCATAATTCTTCACAATACCTGTACCCAAATATGGTAGAATCATTTACAATAGATTACATAGGAAAATTACATTTCTGAGCATAACTTGTTTTTAGTTTTAATTGGAAATAATCCAAACTTGGTTGGCATATAATGATGGTTTGATGGTAAACAGTTATTGCTCCTGGCTGATCACTAGAGGCTGATGGTGGGCAGGGCCCATGGGGTCAAATTTCAAAGATCATCTCTCCATATATATCCATATATAAAATCTATTTAACATTTTCTTCATGGTTTAAAGTTTAAATTGAAAAATTTAATTTTTAATTGAATTTTTTGAAAATCCAAACATGGTAAAAAGCCTTAGCATGGGATGGTAGTTAAAGTCATGTACAGTTTAAACTTGCATGATATGTAGAATGTAGTTCAACTTATCTTATTTTGTCAACAAGGTTATTTCAATGTTACAAGAACAATGACAGCATTGTATCTCAGATGGCTGTTAAGGTCCTGAGGCCTCTTGATATAAAGTTAATATAACTTGTATCACAACTGTTGAAACATAAAAGAAAAAATGCATCACCAACAATAAAAATCCTGCTAGGTTCCGCCTTGACTTAAATGCAAGTAAAAATATTGCGACTTGTCTAAAGTTTGACCAACATCTCCCAAAGCATAAAACCATTGAAGTGCTGACAAAAACTTACTTAGAAAATCATAACAATGACTTTGACTTGTATACTACAATTCTGAAACTTCACCTTGTGTGGGAGTCTTTTAGAACTGACTGAAGTTTGATCAAATACCCTTCAAGAAATGATGCTGCAAAAGCAGTGACAAGGATTTTCTGAAAACAGAGGTAAAGTAGTACCAGTGACCTTGACCCTAAAT